AGAGAGAGAGAGAGAGAGAGAGAGAGAGAGAGAGAGAGAGAGAGAGGGAGAGAGAGAGAAGGAGGGGTAAGAAAGCAAAGAGTGAGAGTGTGAGTGCGTGAGAAGAAAGTGAAAAAAGGTGCAGAAGTGGAAAGCATGTAGCGTAAATGCAGATATATAGTTAAGAAAAAGACAGGGAAATTAAGGAGGTGTGAAGAGTGCAGGAAGAAGAATGAGGCAAAAGTAAAAAAGGAAAAAAAATTGCATTTTTATACAGTACAAACATTTCAAGGCACTTCTCATACAATGCATTGCTTTCAATTCATTATATACTTGGCAGGACAATAGCTATTTAGAACAAAAAAACAACAGAGGAACAGGCCCTCCACACCTGTGCCCATCATCATGCCCCAACTAATCTAAAAAACAAGCCTTCCGTCCTCATTCGGTCTGTATCCCTCTATTCCCTCCCTATTCAGTGCCTCTTAAATGTCTTCAATGTGCCCGCTTCCACCACCTCTTCTGGTAGTGCATTCCAGGCTGCTATCACTCTCTGCGTGAAAAACTTCCCTCGCACATCTCCCTTAAACTTTCCCCCACTGACTTTGAACCTGTGCCCCCTTGTAATTGAAACTTCAACCCTGGGGAAAAAGCCCCTGACTATTCACCCTACCTATGCCTCTCAATTTTGTAGACCGCTATCAGGTCTCATCTCAGCTGCCGTCTTTCCAGTGAAAACAATTCTAGTCTTTTTAACCTTTCATCATAGTCAATCCCCTGGAGACCAGGCAACATCCTGGTGAACCTTCCCTGCACTGCATCCAAAGCTTCTACATCCTTCTGGTAACATGGCAAACAAAACTGCACACTATACTCCAAATGCGGCCTAACAAGGGTTTTATATCGCTGCAACAGGGTTTGCCAACTCTTGTACTCCACGCCTCAGCCGATGAAGGCAAGCATGCCATAGGTCTCTCCCTATTTATTTCAGAATCCCCTTCCCCTCCCCCATTTCTGAAGGAGGGTCTAGGCCTGAAACGTCAGCTTTCCTACTCCTCTGATGCTGCTTGGCCTGCTGTATTCATCCAGCTCTACATCTTGTTACCTCAGATTCTCCAGCATCTGCAGTTCCTATTATCTTGGCCAGTTAATCAGTTTTGATGATTTTGGTTGCAAATGGATGACAGCATGGACACTGGGAGAACTTCCTGTTATGCTGTGAAGGATGAATTGTAATGTTAAACATCCAACTCAGCTACATGAGGCGGCAGACCTAGTGCAACCTCTCATCGAAAGTTAACTCCTCTGACTGTGCACATCCCCCGAATACTGCAATTGGCAGTGCTATTGTGTTCTCTACTTCTGGAGCGTGGGTCAAACCTACACAGTCTGACTTATGTAAAAGTGCCGCATGAAAGAACCACCATAGAATCTTGACCTCTCTCCCACTCTGTTAATATTTTTCTGAGTATGAAGTACGGATGACGCCAGGGAAGACGAACTTGAAGGAGTTGCTGACCCTTACAGTCGGTGAAAGGGACAGATTTACGTAGGAGCCAGTCAGGTAGACGACAATAACGTGGGTGTACTTAAGCTTCAATTATGCTGGTTCACTATGTTCTGCTTCACCCCCTCACCGGCAGTCCCCATGGATACAACAGGAGGGAGCAGAAAAATGTTAGCACTATCAAATAGTCCATTAATAAGTTTTGGAGTTGGCAAATCATAGTTTAATAGGAGTCACCAGCAGACTACTTCACCTAGGAAGTGCTGTGCAGCATGCTCTAACATCCATTTAAATGTCACTGATTGTAACTTGCTTTCAAGTCACAAAAGGCAAAATACATATATAACTGCAAATAGTTCTTTGAACAAATACATTGCTAAATCAGGGAAGCCAACCGTAGACAAAGTTCCTACAACAGTTTAGGAGGTACAGAGTCAATAAATCACAGAAGACCACCATTCAGCCCATCAAGTCCATGCTGGGTATCTGCAGAGCTATCCTATCAATTCCATTTTATGCCTCTATGCCTGCATTCTTCTAAACTCATTGTCCTTAAGTGCAGATCAAATTTCTTTTTTAAATCATTGATATCTCTCTTCTACCACTCTTGCACACAGGTCAATACTACTCACTGCATAAGAAAGTTTTGCTTCACATCCCCGCTGCAAATCCTGCCCTAGTCCTTGAACCATATTAATGGGAATCGCTGTCGAATCTCCCCTCAATCTCCTACACCTCAAGGAGAATGCCCAGCTTTTCAACTTAAAAAGTGTTTCATGCTAGAACCATTCTGCGAAATCTCCTCAAGGGCTTCCACATCTTTCCTCAAGTGTGACGATCCACTACTTGGGCACATCAGGGTTCTGCATATATGTTCTGAATTAGAACCATTTGAGGAAATCCATATTTTCCCAAAGTTTTGCCAGGTTCCTTCTTTCTTGTCTGGTTAGAAACTTTGGAAAGAACCAGAGTGGAATGAAAGGAAGAAGCAAAAATTCTCTTTATGTCCAGAACCACCACACGCTGACCCATTTTCTATACTTTGAAGTAATTGTCACTGCCTCCAAAAATCTTTTGTGCCTCTGTGTCTGAAGACCAAGATTACATACACTTTGGTATCTACTCTCTGTACACCCTGTCACCTTCAAAGATCTACATACAGCAAACCCCAGATTCTTTCTTGCCACTCACGTTTTAGAACTGTACCATTAAATTTACATTACATCCCACGATTAGCTTTCATAGGAAAATTTTCTGCCAGACTTCCATTCTTGCTGCTAACTGGGAAGAGTCACGTTGAATTGAATGAGTTATTGTCACTTGCATTTAACAACTAAATACTGTGAAAAGTATAACATAGGGTCACACTCCAGCGCCATTTTGAGAGTTAAAGATACTGTGGGAGAATCTGGGAACAGAAGACATAATCAGAGTTAGGAGTCGCCCATTTAAGGCAGAAATGAGGAGAAGTGTCTTCTCTCGGTGTAGTGAATGTGTGAAATTCTTTACCACAGAGGACTATTGAGACTAAGTATAGGAGGTAAATTTTTAAGTCGTCAGGGAATCAGGCAGGCAAATGGAGTTGAGGATTATCAGGTCGGCCATGATTTCTGAATGCCAGAGCAGACTCAGTGGACTGAATGGCCTGTTTCTGTTCCTGTGTCTTATAGTCTTACAACAGTTTAGGAGTGGTAAACTTGCTGGGAATCGAGAAACTGAAACTAATGCTCTCAGTAACAATGACCGTGAAACCACCTTTAGTTGTAACATTCCAGTCCTTTAGGGACGGCCTTACCTGATCTGGACTACATGCGACCCCGTACCCACAGCAATGTTGACTTTTAACTGCCCTTTAAAAT